CTCAATCTTTCTGCCGACTTTAAAGCGACGTTGAAAGTCATTCACTCCGAGGTCCTTACTATGCTGGCCAAGAATGCTGAACTAAAGGTCAAGCGTACTCAATATCTTCGAGCCGTAGCCGAGAAAGAGTCTCTATGCTTGGAGATCAACAAGGCTAAGGACGAGTTGCAAGAGATCTCTTCCATACTACCTTGATTTGGTATTGTAACACCTCCTTGATTTGAAGTAGAGGGGCCAGCCAGTGGTTCTACCCCTTGACTTGGATTTGGGACCGAAGGATTATGTCCTACGATCGTCCTAGTTTGAAAGTGACTTGTAAGAGGTATAGCCGGCTGACATATTTGGCCTACTAACTTATTCATTGTTTCATTCAACGTCTTTAGTTGTTTGGCCATATTGTCATAGTGTGCATTACCACTTTGTGTAAATCTTTCCATATTATGAATACTTCGAAGATTTACCTGCTCAACGACGTCTTGCGTGAGTTCTCCAAGCAATGCACGCATGGTTCGAGGACTCAGCTCCGTCATTGGTTCCTAACGACTGTTACTGCTCTGATTTTGTCCATCTGTCCGTGGAATTTTCTAATCATCAATTCTTCAAGCATTTAACTGCTTTGCATTAAGAATTTTGTCCATTCCCTTTTGATATTCCCACTACTGTTCCCGAGACTTAGGGCCATTTATTTCCGTCTATTAGGCAGAAATGTGGCTGTTCATATTCTGTCTCTTCATCTTCGCCCCCTTATAAATGTTTAGCATTTTTCATCTTCTATCTTCACCTCCTCATTTTCTTATTCGAAACCGATTTGCTGCCATTTCAAACCTCTTGAGACAAAGTCCCAAAAAGGGGTGTTCTTTTTATTGGCGATGAACTTTACAATTAGAAACGGAAAACAACGTGCCTCCAAGGGGCGCAAGCACACGAGTTACAGAAAAGGAAATGTTTAAGTCTAAAAGCTAAAAGAATGAAAATTACATATTCTCTGTTCGAGAGTTTTGGATTCGGTCCTTGCTTCTAAGTTCTTTCTCCCTTTTATACTTCATAGGCGATCCCTTTGTGATTAACTGCTCTAAAAAACTGCTTGATCGCCCAATAACTACCCACTTTCTTTGTAATGGCCACTTTGTCATGCAACTGTCTTTTAACTGCTGCCATTATCTTGCATCGTTCAACCGCTTTCGATTGAACCCCTTGAGTCGTGGAACGTGATGAAATTACTTTAG